AAGTAAAGATTGGAATTGGAAATGAAATTTGGGGAAATTAGGGATTTTCAGATTGAACTGATTCAAGTTTTGAGCTTCCCTTAATGTCTGATATTTTTGACATACAGTTTCAGCGTTAGAAAGTTGAGCCGACGGGATTGGGTCGGACATACAGTTTAATGTCTGATATTTTTGACATCTCCCTTGCCCAGCCAGATAGGAGAAGGGATCAATTAATTTTGGGTAAATTACATAAAAGTACCCAACCTTTAGGCCATCTCCAATCATACTAAACTAAAATTTCTACCCTCCAAAATATAACTATTTATGTATAATCTGGACTCTCGTGATTTAATTTTCTGAACATTTTAACCTAAAACTTCTAAAATCGAAACTTTTTTATAATTTCATAATCAATAAAATCATCTACCTGCACCTACATCATACCAACACCGAGGAAAACAGTGTATATTTGAACACATAAATACTTTTGCATGGTTATATTTCATCACCTCCACGATAGGTCTCAAAACCAACCCACATTACCTATACACACGGTATCAAATCACAATAGGTATAAAAATTCTATCATCATGAATCTATTAAGCAAGAAGAAGAAGGGAAAAAGTAGAGGTGGAAAAAAAATGTTTGCATAAGTAGACAAATACATCTAAAGCGGCTGATAGCTAGGCAACACGCTCTTCACAATCAACGACAATATAGATGGTAAGATCTAATACTTATAAATGTGACAATTATTTAAAAAGTCATATATAATAATTATTTACCTAAAATTAACATTAAATCAGATAATAATTGAGGAGTTCACAATATAAAAGTCATTGAGGGTAAAATAGGCATAACAAATATTTGAAAATTAGAAACAAGAAATATTGTGCGACTCTCATCAGCTTACTATGGTAAGTTTGCTGACGTGGAAATAGAGTTAATGGGTTTACATCGAAAAAAAATTTGAGTTTACATTAAAAATTGAAATCACGGGCGACTCTCATCAGCTTTTTTTTATTTATAAATTGAGTTTACATAAAAATAAAAAAATGAAAGTAGTACCTGATTTTACAATAATATAATTAAAAAAATATCAAAATTACACATTATGTCACACCTTCAAAGGCACGTACACTATGCTACATGTTCACCTCTGGCAATCTCCTTTCCGGCCAACCACCGTTCTAACCCCCACCGCCGGCCAACTGCCGCTCGCCACCGTCGGCAGATGACCAACTTCGTTGCCCTTTATTCACCTTTAAAAAAAATAAAAGATTTTGTGTCATTAAAGAGACTTAAACCATGACCCTCAAAGGAGGAAGGCTCACTTACAAACCACTACACCAAACTTGTTTTTGTAATATTTATTCGGTTACACAATATTTATAAAAACAAAACTACAAACAAAAACAAAAATTAATTTTATAGAAGCAAAAATTGCACTTCAGAGTATGGTGAAAAACAAATATATTAATAAGTGAGGAATCAAAATGGAAAACAAAGATGAAAGTACTAAAACATAAACTGCAGTGCAGAAAGGGAAACTGCAATGTAGAAGCTGAAACTGCAATGCAGAAACGGAAACTGAAATATCGAAAGGGAAACTGCAATGCTGAGTCTGGGCAAAAATGCTCAGCTCTAGAGTTAAACAAAACAAAACAATATTTTTGTTTATTCAAGACATGTTGGGAGAGGGGGAATCATACTAAAGACCACCTAGAATGTAAAATAGGTTATTCATGTTTCTATTTTATGCATTGCACGTTCTGCTCCTTGCATTGCAGGTTCCGTTTTCTACAATGCAGTTTCTGTTTTCTGCAATGCAGTTTCCGTTTTCTGCGTTGCATTTTTCATTTTCTGCAATGCAGTTTCTATTGTCCACAATGCTGTTTTCGAGAAAAAGAAAAAGATTTCTTGTCATTGAAGATCGCCCTTCATCGCTGAGAACTTGATTTTGTGCCAATGATCAATCTACAATCTAATAAATCCATCATGTTCAACTCTAGAGTTATATAAAACAGAACAATATTTTTAAAAAAATTCAAGCCATGTTGGGAGAGGGGGAATCGGACTGAAGACCACCTAGAATGTAAAATAAGTTATTCGTGTTTCTATTTTTTGCATTGTAGGTTTTGTTTTCTGCATTGCAGTTTCCGTTTTCTGCAATGCAGTTTCTATTGTCTGCCAACGACATAAATACAAAAAACTAAAACTAAGACAAATTAAGAAATTTTGTCATCAAGGAATCTCCTGACATATGGTCCTCCATGACCATGACAACAACATCATCAGAAAAGAGTAGGCCCTCGACAAGGCCAACAAAATGATGCACAATATCCAATGCATGCAGATATACTTGCTACTAGACCAACTGATGGTTATTGCACAATAAGCATAGCTAGATGAGCTTAAAGGGAAATATTAAATAAATTTAAAAAAATAAGCAAGTTAGCGTGTATTTCGTGCATGATTTTCAGAATTTATGAAATTCTTATTCAACATCCAAACGAGCTAACTTGACAACGAGGCAAGCTCACTGCCTGGCCTAACCCGCCTCTCCAGCAAGCAATGAGATATTACATATTCATATACAGAATTCTTATTCCATCCTCAATCAAATAAGATATACACCCTTGGTTTAGGCACTGAATTGTTGATGACCAATTTGGTTGTGCTGACATCTTCATTGTTTGTTGTTTTCTTTATTTCTTTGACTTATTAGGAATTACTTATATTCTTTGGTGTTTTCATGTCATCTCAATTCTGTTAGGTCTTAGACTCTTAGTCGATTCTGAATTTTTGTTCTCTATAGGATTATATGTTGAGCTGAGTTGACATGTTTATGCATGTCCTTACCATTTTTATGAGTGACATTCACCAGTAAACAGTTCATCAATAAGGGATTCTATATATGATGGATGAATCTACGGCCATTTGGATTACAAATGGGGATAATGTGACATTCTAAGAGTTCAATTATTTGTCTAGACTATCATAATCTATATATGCCAATATTTAAACAAAAATGAAATAAAGAAAACAAATGGGTTAATTGGCAAAGACCATGCTTGGTCTTATTGTCCACCCCACCACGATGGAAGCATATATAGGCGATATCTCTTGGTTGCTAGTTTATTTTCTAAATGCCCATCTCTTGCATTTTTATCAGAAGGTTACCGCACTGTAATTCCATAAACAAAATCAATATCCACACAAAAATAAAATTACTTACAAAAATCATGTAATCTATCCTATGCTCTAATCTCGTATCTTTTGAATTCCAACCCACCGTACATAATCAACCCACCTATTCCACAATATAAAGAATCATGAGAATTGAAGAGGAAAACACAACCAACTAACATAATGAGATTCAAGGAGAACTCAGTATAATCTTGTGTTGGTATAGCAAGGGTTCTAGAATTCGTTGTTCGATTACTCTGGCGAGAACTTGGTATCTTTAAAACAAAAGGTATATCATTATACATGTTTCCAATAGTAACAAAAGTAAATTATTATCATTTCTGACTAGCCTCAACTATTTATGAGCAATGATTAAATAGTAGTGTCATTGCCAAATGAAATAATAAGTCAATGAAATAATCAGGATATCCCTTAGTCCTTCTCTTAAAGATGGGATGCATGTTTCTTTAATCCCCCCTATCCAACCAACATCAATTATCTTGCCTGAAAAGGAATTTCCGTACGGTAGACAATTGATATATCATAGCATTGGCTTTTTTTTCTTCCCCTTAATCAATGCATTTGTTACACCCGTACCAACCTAAAAGAAATTGAAAAATTGTCAACCATATAACAAACTGGGAACCACATAACATCGTGCCACCTGTAAAGCCATTACATGAGTGGGAAGCAGATTTCATATGACTAGAGATTAGAGATGGCAATTTTCCCGGTGGGTAAGGGTCTTTGCAGGGATTCGACCCTAATGGGTCAGATATGAATGATAAAAAACAGGTATGGAGACGGGTACGGGGAATTTTTTGGTTATGGTGTTTGGGGAGGGGCGGGGATGATATTTTAATTCCCAACCCGAATCCTCCCCGTTTAAAAAAAAATATATATATATATATTGATGAGGTATATAAATATATATTATAGTATATATAAATATGCTATTAAAGTGATTATACCAACTAAGTTTTATATTTTATATTATTATATTATATACTTATATAATTTATACAAATTTTAAGCCGTAATACTTATTTATCTAGTTAACTTCCAATACGTATATAAACATTCTTATATTGTCTAGTAAGTATGTATTATTTATATTCATTATCTTGCCTTAGTATATTTTTGTTTTCTTTCAATAAAATAATTATATATTGGTTTTTTCTTTCCTAATGGGGCGGGTCAGGGAACCTATTCCCCAACGAATGTGGGGATGAGGAATCTCCGATATGAATATTGCTAGTATAAAGGCGAAAATGGGGGAAAAAAGCTTAATGAGAATGAGGATGACAATGACATACCCATCCCCGATTCGACCCATTGTCATCCCTACTAGAGATGGCTGAGCAAACCAGAATATACTTTTTCTTTTTTCTTTTTTTTTTGTTTCACATTGTTGTCTCCTTCGGACATAATCAGACATGAGCTGGAGCTGGGCCATTGGAATAGACTAGACACTCTACTGATTCGAAGCTCAATTATCAGCTTCTACTTTTCCTTTTGAAAAAAATAAATAAATAATAAAGCTTTCTACTTTTTCTATGTAACGTGCTGGTGGCAGCAATTAAAGGAATCTGCTGTTGGCAAACACAGTAATTTCTGTAACTTTGGTGTCGGCAGAATAAAAACCCTTGGGGAATTTGCATTGCGTTTTGTTCATCTATCAAATGACGAATATTATTCTCTTCTCTTTTGTGTAAAGACTTTGGGGAATTTGCATTGCGTTTTCCTTATCTATCAGATGACGAATATTATTTTCTTCTCTTTGTGTTTTGTACCCAACAGAAAAAAAAAAACAAAACAAAACAAAACAAAAGAGATATCTTCTCATCATAACATCTCATACTCAAAATTCTCGAACCCATAATTAGTTTCTCCCACATACGTTTCGTTTCATCCATCTTCATATTTATTATGTCTTGGATCTGGCTCTCTTGATCTCTTTGGTTCTAAAAGTGTGTAACTGTTGTTGATATATATCATATACTTAAACTGCAGGTACTTCTGATTTATTCTTTTTGTACCGCAGACTTTGTTTCTTTTAGTTTCTTGTATTTATTTGTTTTGCTCAGACTTCCTGTTTTCTTTATCCATTTGGTAGGATATAACAATAGAGATTTTGAAGGATTTTTTATTCTTTTTTTCAAAACAGATTTATGATTTTTTATTATTATTATAGTAAATTGAGCTCAGACCCATAAAATTCATTTTAAATCACTTACAACCCTTTCCTTTATTTTCCTATTTAAAATACTCAATTTTTTTAATTTTGAGGCATCTTAATTGTAGTGGAACTCAAATAAAAGAGATGCCGGTGCAAATGGGTGGACTAAAAGGTTTGAGAACATTGACTACTTTTGTTGTGGGGAAATCTACTAGGTCGACTATTGGCGGATTGGGGGATTTGTCCCATCTTGGAGAAAAACTTTCAATTTTGAAGCTTAATAATGTGGTTGATGGTAGGGATGCTAAGTTGAAGAACAAAAAAGATCTCAAGGAGTTAGAGTTGGCATGGGGCTCCAAAGATGCCGATCATTCCGAAAAGGTGAGAGATGTACTTGACAACCTCCAACCTTGCATGAATTTGGAGAAATTGACCGTTAAACTTTATGGCGGGACCAGCTTCCCAAACTGGTTGGGAGACTCTGCCTTCAATAAAATAAAAGTTATGCGCCTTGAAGGCTGTCATTATTGCTTCGAGTTGCCACCGCTTGGACAGCTACCTGCTCTTAAGGAGCTCTTCATATGTGAGATGAAATTTCTTAGGACGTTAGGTCCTGAGTTGTATGGTCAGCCATTTCAGCCATTTCAATCACTGGAGAAGCTGGAGTTTAAGGAGATGGCAGAGTGGGAGGAGTGGGTACCAAGTGGAAGTGGAGGTCCAGACTTTCCTCGTCTCCAAGAGAATAGCTGTGATTCAATGAGGTCCTTCCCCTTGGGCATTTTTCCCAAATTGAGGAAACTTTTTAATGTAGGGCCATGAGAGTAGTGATGGTAGTGATCCAGAATGCACAGTAATTTCTGTAACTCTGTTGTCGGCAGGATAAAAATATTTACATTTGGTTAGTTTAGAATATCACTTTCTCATAAATATTTACATTTGGCTATTCTTATGCTAGCTCTTTATTTTGCTCGACAGCTTGCATCCAACCTCATCAAAATTTAATCATAATATGTGGCTGGACATAATCTGACAGAAGAACGTGGCATGAGCTGGATATAATAAATCTAATTATGCTTGTGAGCAACAAATGGAAGCAGAAAAGAAGTGGAGCTGAGCTGGAGTCTTCCTATAGTTTTGTTCCACTTTACTTGTGGTGGGGTCCTTTCTTTCTTTTTTTATTTTTATTTTTGGTTTTGTTTATCCTGTTCTATTTCGATCAAAGTGACTTTTCCGCTTGATACAGAAACGAAAAAAGAAAAATAGAACAGAACAAACAAAAACAAAAACGACCCAACCAAAAGTACAGTGGAACAAAACTATAGGAAGACTCAAGCTCTGTTGTTATGCTTCTTCAGTCCAGATTTGTTGCTCACAAGCAGAATCAGATTTGAACTTCCATGTAAGTGCTTCTTGCAAGCATAATAATTATTTCAATCTTTTATATTTATGTTTTTATATGCCATACATACATTCATCAATGAGACTTACACATCCTAAGTAAAACTAATTTTTCACTTAATTTCTGCAGTTGTGCATCTTAATTTGCTCAGTCCGGATTTGAGGATCTCAAGCCAAATCAGATCTCAAATTTTCCATGTAAGTGCTTATTCTGAACTAGTATTTTTTTTTAAACGTAATTTATGCATTTTGATATTGTTGAAGAAAACTTCCTTACTTCTTTGGCTGCTTGTGTGTGTCTCTTCAGTCTTAATTATCAACGAGTATGGCAGTGGGAGAGATTTTTCTTGGGGCATTCCTTCAGTTGCTGCTCGACAGGTTAACACCTCGCGAGATCCTCAACTACTTTGGTCTCCTAAAGGGCGTGGACAAAAAGCTGAAGAAATGGAGTGACAATTTGTCTGCAATCGTAGCAGTGCTGAATGATGCGGAGGAGAAGCAACTGACAGATCCTGGTGTGAAATTGTGGCTGGATGACCTCAGAGACTTGGCTTATGATGTAGAAGACGTGCTGGACAAATTTGCCACTAAAATATTGAAGCGCCAGATAGAGGGACGTGATCAAGCCAACACAAGTAAAAAGGTGCGGAGTTCATTCTCTAAACTGAAACTCAATTTCGTTATGAACTCTGAAATCAAGAAGATTACAGAGCGGTTGCAAGAGATCTCTGAACGGAAAGATAACTTTGGTTTAAAGGGCACCGGGACGTCTAGTAAAGCATGGTCAAGGCCACCAACTTCAGGTGTGCTAGGTGGACTGACCATTGTTGGAAGAGATGGAGATAAAGCAAAAATATTAGACATGTTGTCGAGAGATGAGCATAGTAATGTCAACTTTCATGTTGTTGCCATTGTTGGCATGGCTGGCCTTGGGAAGACTACACTTGCTCAATTTGCATTCAACAACAACAGTGATGTCATGAAGGAGTTCGAGCCGAAGGTGTGGGTGTCTGTGTCCGATGACTTCGACGTTGTAAGATTGACGAAGGCAATTCTTGAATCCGTCACATCTCAACCCGTTAAAGTTGAGGAGTTCAGTAAAATGCAGCATGATTTGAATGAGCAGTTAAGAGGTAAAAAGTTTTTAATTGTTTTAGATGATATTTGGAACAAAAGTGACCGTGATTTATATGATCTGTGGACAAGACTTCAATCCCCTTTTAGTGTTGGAGCACAAGGAAGTAAGATAATTGTGACGACACGTGACCAAAATGTTGCAACGATTATGGGAGCCTCAGCCACCGAAGTTCATAACTTGGAGTATATGTCAGATGATAATTGTTTGGAAATATTTGAGCAGCATGCATTTGTGAACAATGATAGACCACCAAATTTTGAGTTGCTTCAGAAAAAAATTGCTGAAAAATGCAGTGGATTGCCCTTAGCTGCAAGAACTCTTGGTGGGCTTTTACGTCAGAAAGAAATAAACAAATGGGAAGAAATATTGAACAACAAATTGTGGAATTTATCAGCTGGTAAGAGTGACATTCTTCCGGTATTAAAGTTGAGCTATCACTATCTTCCTTCCAACTTGAAGAGGTGTTTTGCCTATTGCTCAATATTTCCAAATGACTATGAATTTGGGGAGAAGCAATTGATCCTTTTATGGATGGCAGAGGGTTTGATTCAACAACCACCAGAAGCCAATAGGCAAATGGAGGATTTAGGCCACGACTATTTTCAAGAGCTATTATGTAGGTCATTATTTCAAAAGGCAAGTGAAAACAATTCACGATATGTAAAGCATGACCTTGTTACTGATTTGGCACAATGGGCAGCAGGAAATACTTGTTTTAGATTGGAGGACAAGAAAGGTGATAACCTGCAATCTGCATGCTTTCGTCATTCGTCTTTCATAATTGGTGACTTTGATGGAGTTCAAAAGTTTGAGGCCTTTCGCGAAGTTAAACGTTTGCGAACGATCCTGCCACTTTCCCTATCAAATACTTACGGGTGTAATGGATATCTGGCTCGTAAGGTAATTTTTGATTTATTACCTCAGATGCAATACTTGCGGGTGCTTTCTCTCAATGGCTATCTAGTGACTGAGCTGCCAAATTCAATTGGTAAATTGAAGTATCTGCGGTATCTTGATCTTTCTCACACATTGATAAAAAGTTTGCCTGAATCAACAACCACTCTTTACAACTTACAGACGCTGATATTGGAAGATTGTCGTCATTTGAAGGCACTGCCTAGAAACATGAGGAATCTAGTGAATCTCCGTCATCTCAACAATTCAAATGTAGATTCACTAAAAGCAATGCCTCCACAACTAGGTCGATTGACGAATCTACAATCTTTGCCTAATTTTGTGGTGGGTAAAGGTAGTGATGAATCAGGGATAAGAGAGATAGGATCCCTATCCTATCTCCGAGGGAAATTATGGCTCTCAAGGTTGGAGAATGTGATCGATGCTGAGGATGCACGGAAGGCCGACTTAAAATCCAAGGAGATAGTAGATGAATTGGTGCTAGAATGGTCGAATAACACACAAGAAACAGAATTGGTGCTTGACAAATTAGAACCTCATAGAAAGCTTGAAAAACTCATCATCATGGGCTATGCTGGATTAGAATTTTCAACATGGATTGGAGATCGTTTATTCTCTACTATGGTTGCTGTACGTTTATATAACTGTGAGAACTGTAAAATGTTGCCACCACTTGGGCAACTGCCTTTGCTCAAAGAACTTTATATTACAGGAATGGCTGCAGTGGAAAGTGTTGGTCCTGAGTTTTATGGGGAGGGTAGCTTGCCTTTCCCAGTACTAGAGACTCTTGAGTTTGAGGATATGCAACACTGGAAGAAATGGGTTCCTTTTGTCCTCAATTGGAGGGTAAGGTGCCCGAGAACCTTGATTCATTAGAAACACTTAGAATTATTGAATGCCAGGAATTGGTGATTTCAATTTCCAACTATAAACAAATTGGTCAATTACGGATAGATGGCTGCAAAGCAGTGGTGAAGACAAGTGGCGTTGAGTTTGAGTTATTAAATTCCTTGAGACTTTCAAATATTTCAGAAGTGAGGTTCCAAACAGGGGAGTTCTCCAAAGGATTAAGGAAGGTTGCTGATTTGGAGATTGGAGGATGTGAGGAGCTGACATCTTTGCTGAAGAATGAGGATAGAGTATTGCAACACTTGATTTCTCTTGATCGTTTGGTTATTGAAGACAACTCTTCCCTCCTTGAAAAGCTGGGAAAAGAAGCAGAGGAGTTGCTGCAATTGCAAATATTGACTTGCAACCTTAAATATCTAAGATTATACTGGTGTGCAAGTCTTTCGAAGGTACCAGAAGGGTTGCATCACCTAACGGCTCTTCAAGACCTTCAAATAATTGGATGCTCAAGTCTGGTTTCTTTTCCAGATGTTGGTTTTCCTCCTTCCGTTGAAGTTATAAGGATTGAGGAGTGTGATTCGTTGCTGTATTTAGCAAAATACCAGATTCCCCCAAATCTAAGAAGAATACAGATAGGAGAGTGTAAAACTTTGAAATCATTAGTAGAGAAAGAGGAGGATAGTTCTTCGTCTTCCTCTTCTTCTCCTATTTCTCTTGAGCACTTGCAAATATGCGGATGTGAATCTCTAACGTCGTTATCATTGAGAGCCCAGTTGTTTCCCAGGGCGCTTAAACACCTTGACATATTCGATTGTGGAGAGCTGCAGTTAATAACGTCCGATGGGTTAGCCCACGACAACACTAATTATTGTCTTGAAAATATTCACATCCGGTCTTGCCCAAATCTTAACTCGTTACCGGAGGGCCTATGCCACCTCACCAATCTTCAAACTTTAAAGATTTATGATTGTGGGAGTCTGGTTTCCATCCCGAGCTTAAGTGGTGAGGGTTTGCCTTCGCCAACAACAACAGCCGCCTCCAGCCTGAGACAAATCAACATCCATAATTGCAACAAATTGGAGATGTTACCGGACATGTGCAATCTCAACTGTCTTCAGTATTTGAATATTGATTATGGTGAAGGTTTAAATTTCACTTCCTTTCCCCCCAACCTAACATCACTTAGAATTAGTGGAATCAAGAATTGTAAGCCGCTGTGGGAGTTGTTACACAGGCTCACCTCTCTTACAGGCTTGTCCATCAGTGGTGAAGACCCAAGTGTGGTGTCATTTCCACCTGACAGTTACAGGGAGATGGAGATGGAGATGCTGCTCCCCAAATCTCTTACTTATCTCTCAATTGCGGGCTTCCCAAATCTGAAGAAACTAAGCAGCAAGGGCTTTCAATCCCTCACCTCTCTTCGATTTCTTCGACTCTACAATTGTCCAAAGCTGGCATATATTCCAGAGCAGGGGTTGCCTATTTCACTGAGGCAACTTGAAATCATTCGTTGTCCTCT